TTTTTCACTTACATGGTTTATATGGCGAAAAAAAACTATAATTTACTGTAAATCCTCTGATAAGCCCCATGGGTGCTTATTTAAATCAGGTACTTTAGCGGTGGCTTGTTAGAGGGGTGGGGGCTTAATAGAGGGGGGGGGGCTTATTAATTTAGTCCAATGTTCTCTACCAGGATACAATAGGATATGACAGGGCTCGACACTAACAATTATTTTTCAACTTACTAGCCAAGTGGCTGGTGACAACTTAGATGTTAAAACAATTTCAGTCTGTTTATAAGCCAAACTGGCTGGTGGAAATTGAAAACCACAAGCCAATACTGAATTTCTACTAATCTGTAGCTAGTGGGCTACAGTTAGTGTCGAGTCCTGATATGATGTACCATATCTATTCAAAAAAATTTCTCATTAATTGTTCTCTGAATAGAGGGGGGGTGATAAATTTCTTTCTCTTAAGAGGGGGGCACTTATTAGAGGGGGTGGCTTATTAAAGGGGGGCTTAATAGAGGATTTACAGTAACTGGCCAGTATCCTTTAACCTTTTAGCTCCTGAGAGTGACTTTTAATTTCCCCTTACAGTATTGCCCTCAAATCAAATAATAAGGTCATGAGACTTGAGAAAATGATCACCAATTTAAGAAGCTCCTGATTGAAAAACAAATTCTCTTTGTTAGTACCATGGGAGGCCCTATACACCAGGAGAGCGTATAGGCACTAGTAGTAGTAGTAGTACCATGGGAAATGTAAAAAGAACAGTATGGAGAATAATTATAGACACTGCTGTAGTGGCCCCTAAAGGTTACTCGCAGGCTGAACAGCGTACGGCAGTACGAGGTTTAGAGACGGCGGTAGACCAGTGGTAACCCATTTTCACTGAAACCTATGATGTTACGAACATTATTGAGAGACGTGTAATAATGTCTCCTACGGTCTCTCTCTTCTGTATCGTGTATACTCCAGAATATTTCATGAATACAAAACAGCAATGAAGACTCAAATAAACGAACCTGTCTCAATATCAATTTTCGTCTAAATCTCCTCGCCACGGGATCATGATACACTGCTTTGGGATAAGAGTTGATCTTGAGCAGCAGTTCCTTTTCTGTCTCTTCTGACACGGGAACCAGACATTCGCCTGTCTGAGGAAGACTTGTAAGGTTCTTTGCAACAGGTTTGCTTTTGGCCTCACTCTGAACTGAGTCAGATTGCGGGTGCTTACATGACGTCTCTGAGGTGGCAACCGACGACAAAGACTCCGTATCATCTACTCTGTCATTTCTCTCAACAAGGAAGTCTAATTCTGGGCAAGGAGAACAAATGAAGCAATTTTCAATTCGGTCATGAAGATAACCTCGGACTGCACTGATTGCCTCACAGAACTTTGTACCTGGTGGTAGGAATCTCGTACCACACTGAATACATCAGATGAAAAATTTCAATTAGCTGCGACTTAGTTGTGCCCGTTTTCCCCCTCTCGAATTTGTGGAGATCTCATTGGCTCTTTGTGGTGTGTAGCTTTATTCTGATTAGCTGTGGTGATCACGCTCGGTTGTTTTCACAATATCTATGAGAATAACTAAACTAATGGATAGTGCTTGCACTACGATGAGTGGCAAAAGTAATTGGTGCGCTTAGTATGTGGTCGGCAACTCTCCATTCAACATAATAAAAAGAAATCCTTTAAATCATTTCTAATAACTGCTTGAAAGACCCCGTTTCCCCCTAAACAACGTTGCAAAAAAAAAAAAATAGTGACCATTTTGTTAACAATAACCCTCACTG